TAATTATAACTACTTTAACTGTAGCTATGGTAACTTCACCATCGAAGCTGAGTTGGGGTGAAATGGTGCCCCGGTGGTGTAACTGGTAGCACAATTGCCCGGAAAGTCCGACGAATCCCTGGCGAAAGTTTCGTGCACAACTCAGCCTTCTTGTGATAGCTTTTGATAGTGGTTTTGTGGTTTTAATAGTAGGTTTCAATAGTAGTTTTGTGAAGAACTTTCACAATTTAGACCAGTTTTATTCTCTCATCACAACGTGTACCGCGTAAACATTCATTTGTTGAGTGTGAACATTCTGTACATCACCGCTCATGCAATACTTTACGAATCACTCTTTACAAGTATTGATAGCCTCGATTGATTGTGGTCCGTTCAGTCGACACCGCTGAAGATCTCCGAATTTTCGATCGCCGTGCATAATTTTTGTTTCAATTCGGAAAACGTCTGATATGGAGGGAGGTCGAGTCGATTGAAACTGAAAAATTGAATATTGCATAAAATCACCTACATGGGTAATCACAACGTACCATGTATGAGCTCGGGGAAGCATGTCCGAACTACCCCATCTTTCAATGGTGAACTTTTGTGGTCCATTAGAACCTGAATATTCAGTTTTATAGAGCTATGACAGTTCGTATCAAAGTGTACAATCAATGTGTGATCCTTAGCTAGGCGCCGCCATCACCCCTGGGCAGGTTACTCGAGATATCAACAAAAACATTCGCTGAAATCGACCTCAGAACTGATCCGTTAGGCTCTCAATTGGTATGGGTGCACGCATCCCTGGAAGTTTTGTCAGATAATGTAGTCGAAATTCGTGGTCAGACTATGAGCCGAATCCTATCCCAGAGAGGCGTTGGTGAACCCGGATATGAGATATCGCCGCTCTGGTATACCCGGGGTTGGTATCGTATTCGCCTAACAGTAAGTCGAGTGGCCTAGTGTAGAGTAAATCACACCCAAGAACCGCTACGGTTGTAATTGGAAGTTACATCAGTGCAGCGACCCAAAAAGGGATTGACGGTGCCCAGATGCGAACTCTTTACGCTTTTGATATATTGCATCTTCTTTTTCTTCCGTTACTGTACCAACAAGGATTCATTTTTATTTTTATTTATTTATTTATTTATTTATTTATTTATTTATTTATTTATTTATTTATTTATTTATTTATTTATTTATTTATTTATTTATAATGCACTCAAGGTGCGCCATCAATAAACACAATAATCTTAGTAGAACATGATCGAACATGTTTACTACAATTAAAAATGACAAATACTTCTGATAAAAGTTGCAGAAGGTGTGAAAAAAATTGAAAGGAAATTAAAAAGTCAACTTTCATTTCCGCCTATGATGACTGATATTCTGGACACTTTCACCTCGAATATGCAATGTGCAATGGTCAATTGTAGCCAGATGCGTTACGGTGGAGCAGTGCCGCCAGTAAGTATAGTTTGAATAGAACCTCGGGTGAACTGTGTCGCGTATATAACTAACAGGATGTGGCCGTTAATCCTTCCTCCAAGGACAACATCCCTCCTCTGATCATATCCTACGGAAGGAACAAAACATGTTGCGTCATAGACGCCCCACCTCTATGCTTCTACTTGTCAGCAATTAAAGCAGGCGCGCCCTCTCGGAAAGGATGTTCCAACAGTTGTAATCGCGCTGCTTGTTGTGCGGCAGATAGAAACACAGAGTCTGGCGTCCCTCTGACGTCACAACCCTTTGTTTACCCAGGACTTAATAGGAGGAGGGGGCGCATCCCCGTGGGGGGAAGGATTGAATACGGCCCATATGTGAGGTGCAGTCACATGACGGAGCCCTCGTGAATCGTAACACGTAAGGTACTACGTCTAGGCGCTTGTGCAGGACTCGCCGTTACATGGGTCGCAGTAGCTAATTACTTTCTCGAACTTTGAGACGTCGACTGTTTACATCCTGTGGGGGGGGTTCGGTTTAGGATCGGTAAGCGATTTTTAAAGATTTAGAAGGGTGATAGAACTTCTCAGAACATAGTGAAATTTACAGTGGTATCACGAATGATCGATTAACTGTTTTTAAACTGCCCTAGATATATCGTCGGATGGTCTTAAACGTAATAAACTGACATATCAGGCGGGATCTAACTGACATTTATATTATTTCATTTGTTTATTTATTTCATTCTTAATATTAAGTTTTCGGAGGGCAGTGGAATCGTGATAGGCCTCACCAATGGTAGGGGGAGGCCTCACCAATGGTAGGGGTGTTAGCCGGAAGTTGCTCTGTTAAATAACGTGCTCTCGCTCTAGAAAACCACCTCATGCTGCGCAATGAAGGCAGGGGTACAACCCCTCATATTCACTATCCTTGATCTACCTAAAAACAAGAGGTCGGGAGTCTGGGTCATCAGACTCGCAACTGAGGCTTCATATAACACAGCAATGGAAAGCGTTCTGTGCCAATATTACTGTATAATTTCTCGGAATCCATTCATCGGTACGAGTGAGCGTTCCTGAACTACGCCCAACTGCAGCAGCACACGAGCTCGCATTTCGTTATCGAACGAAAGAATACATTTCCAGAAATTGTGTATGACCTTAATAATCACGACTTTAATAATCACATGATAAATTCTAAAATAATTAGAGCGACTGGAAAAAAAGGTGAACATCTACTATTATGTCATTATTACTTACTTGACTGCTCGGTCCGTACCCGCCCTTGTAGACAGTGTGAGCCTTCCAGTCTTTGACATCGATCTTTTGCAATCCACACATGAGCAACTCCATCTCGTTCGCATCAAATATCCGAAGCAGATTGCTTGGCACAACCTGGCAAGTTTTTAGGTAAGTAGATTCCATTTAGAAGTTTTTTAAGTGGTGATCTTTGGGTTACGGCGCGCACACTTTTGTTGCCTGCTGACTGCAGGGAAATTGTACCCTCCCCTTCAAAAAGCGAGAAAGTGTCGGGTGCAGACCATGCACCACAAGTGACGACGGCCTTCACAAAATGTTAATGTTTTCTGCCAATGAAATGATTAGCCTGTTGCAGTTGTATTCTATCGATTGTCACTAATTACAACTATCATTTACCAGAAATCAGCTATCACTATGAGGCCGTCGTCAATTGTGGTGTTTGGTCTGCACCCGACACTTTCTCGCTTTTTGAAGGGGGGGGGGTCACAGGAATTGATTTGGGGGGGGGGGGTCACAGGAATTGATTCGACGGTTTCATTTAGCGTGACACGGTGACAGACTTCAAGGATTTTATTTGGTTGATGGCTATGAGGCACGAGATTTTCGCACGTCAGTATGGGTACGGGTGAGTAGCCGAGTCAAACGAACAGCTGCCAATGTATTTATACACCGCATTTTCGACTGCGAGAACATCGAGAAGACAGCTAAGGCATCAGCATCGAGCTAACCTACTATCAGCTCCCTTCAGTAATCGTCAATTCTCGGATGTATAGCGGTCCATATTCGACGAAACTGTGCGTCAATTGAAGCACTCAGCCAAACTAAGCTGTGATTGGGGCGACATATTTGAATCGGAACGACATTATAAGCATGATTTCAAAATTTGAGCGCCAGTTGAAGTATGTAGACCTGATGACAACTTAGGTACGGTGATCTGAGCGAATATCCCTTTCAGATTGTCACACATATTTATCGCGTATGTAGAAAGCGTGGTAGGTAAGCTGTTCTAAGGAGTTTTTGTAAAGTGGTAGGTTTACGATGAATGAAGAAATTTAGGCATTTCACAAACGTCATGCAATTACGCGTATGCGCCACAATCTGAAGGTATGACCATTTTGCAAGCAGGGTCAACCGTGACGTTCGCACTTTTTTCAAAAATTTTGCAACTTCTCTCCTTCAGGGAGCTCTTGTTTTCACCACCATGAGTCTCAGGAGGCCCCCCAATACGACCGCCTTTCTCCTACCCCGACCACCAGCTGTCGCCATCATGGCCGTTTCTATAGTACCACTCTGTAGTATTTGATCCTGAGACCAGTCGACACAGCCCAACTCCTCCAAAACAGGCGTCGAGCGGGGAGCGGGGGGAGGGGGGGGGAGTAAATGAAACGATGAAACGGCAATTTTCTCCCTCCTCTGAATGCGACCCCCGCACCCTTCCCAAAACCGCGAATGCGACCCCTTCGTTCGACTAGTGCGAACGCACGGTTGACCCTACTTGCAGTAAAGGCTTTTTGAGAAGTTTTTGTAAAGCGGTTGGTTTGGCACGAGAGTTCGGTGCACCTGAAGAGCTGTGATAGGGCTCACCTCATGCAATCCTTTCAGAATTTGCTCCATGTTGCTTTTCGTCAACCTCGTTTTGCCCCGAATCGGTGCGACCAATTGACAACAGCTTCGATGTATTCTTCCTTGTTCGCTTCCGTCACTCGAACATCGCGACCGTTTTCAATCAGTTCAGTCGTGTGAGTCTGGAAATCGCCGTTTAATTAATCTCCTGTTATATATGGTTACCCATGATTGAGGGTTAACAAATTCTCTGGGTTAGGCATTGTCGAGTGACGCAGTTGAGGGTTGATGGTGAGGCCATTCAGGTTGTTAAATTGAATGCACCAGCATAAAAGTATCCCTTATGTGTCCTTGAATGCTTGGTGTTCTACCACCGGACTATAAACTTAAAGGCATGTCCCAAGATCAATATGGTGTGGCTATCGCTAACGAAATGAGAGGACTGGTGCGCAAAGTCCTTTTTTGCAGGTTATTTTTTATTTGCGCAGATTATTATTCGTTTTCATATGCTACACATGGGAACCTCATGTAAAAATAAATCAATGAGTGGGTCGGTAGTAGAGAAGGAAAGAAT